TAAAATGTAGATATCAGTCTGATGAAATGAAGTGTGATGGAGGAGTGGATGTGTTGCTGTAGCTGTGTTATGGATGCAAGTAGAGCTGTAATCAGTAATTTGTGTCCAAAACCTGACGAAAAAATGGTGTAACTGTTGGAACGGTACTGTTTTGCCAATAGTGCAAAGTTCAGAATACCAAATGAACTTAGTCAAGTCGCAGCTGTAATGGGCTTTCCCTTGTTAGTGTAAGGAAAGGATGCAGAGCATGTCACCCACCGTTTCTGGAGAGCAGTGGCCTGTGCTTGGCCTACGATGGTGCTTTTTAAGCAGTCATGAAAATGGGCTTTAATCCTGCAGGGGTGTCTTCTTTTTGCAGGTAGCTTTTGGACAGCAGAGTGCAAGCGAGCACAGGAATGGGTAGGCTGGCCTGAAAAAAACACAAGAGAAAGGCATTCCTGGCAGGATAGGAGGGCTGAGAAGCAACCGGGACAGCCTGAAATAACTCACTTTCCTTTCCCAACCATGGCAGAAAAGAAACTCACAGTTTAGGATTTAAGCTCTTCTCAAGTATGGGTAAATTTATTTCCACTGTCATCTTGCAGTGACAGGGTGGCATTATCCCCATTTTACACAGCCAGAGCTGAGGCACAATAAGATTAGGGTTATATGGTCCATTAAATCTGGGTACCCATTTTGCAATGCCTTTGGCTCAGTTACAGGGCTTAGTCAAATCTATATATAACATGTTATGTATGGTCTCACTGGCTACAAAAACAGCCCTCTGCGCTTAGTTCTGCCGCAAATTGCAGCAAAAGTGCCAAAGTTGGCACCCAAATAGCAAGAGAAATGCTCTCTGTGATCATCTCTGCAAAGTTTGGCTTGAGTGGGGACTTCTTTCACATGCACAGGAGCTTGAGGTACAGACAAAGTTAGAGTTCAGTTGTGCACGTGCACAAGACCACTTTTTTTCTCCTGCAGTCTTTTCTCTCATTCACTAGACATCTAAATGTCATTTGCAACAAATTACAGAGCTTACTTCAGTAGCCAACCTTGATTTATCTCTGGAATTGCTCTGTCACATGCATTAAATGAGTCTGGTCTCTTCAGAAATGATATAGTTAACTGAAGATTATATATGCAAAAGACAGCAAGTTCGGCTGCAGCAAAGAATATAACTAAGTAGGTTGATTAGATAGCGCAAAGACCAGATAAAAGGTTATGTGGATAAGAAATAGGTAGTGACTAGGAAGAGAGATATTTAAAGATTAATTAATTTGTGCACATGACATATTGAGGTCACATTACATTTTCGTCTCTTATCTTCCATTCATATCTACATCCATTTATGCCTTTAAAGCAATTATGCCTTTTCTTACCCTCTTATCTATCAGAGATTTGCACCGGAAATCTTAATGCCTGGTTTGGATTGTTATAGAGTAGCTACTGCAAGTTTATTCAGAGCTCTTTTATGCTTTATTTTTTTGACTTCACATTTTCTGTCCAGATAGCTGTTGACAGCCCTCTCTCCTAGGAATTTCCATCATTGCTCAGAAGGGGAAAAGAAGTCATTTCTTGTTCTTGTGCTTAATATGTAAAATGGGCTAATTTATAAACCTTATGATAAATCATACCTAAAGGAACAAGGTCATGTGTTTTGAGCTTTGAGTTTGGTCTTGGCAGGTTTGCAATATACAAAGATATTCCTTTAGTGGTCAGGAAGTCACTCTTCTACACCAGGATTTTAGTGGAAAATTATTCAGCAAGCCATATAGAAATTTCATATCACATCTCACAGATTTTAATCATTAAAGATATTTGGCACAAAACAGTCACTAGTGTGCCATAGACAGAACTAATAAGGCCTCGGAGATGAGTGGTACATAAGAACCTTGCAGCATGGTAGCCAGATGTGCTCCATTATCTATCTATCTGTCTGTCTGTCTGTCTATTTAAATTAGTTATATCTGTGTTTTTTACTGGTGTAATAAATACATTAATATGTCACCTTATTTTATATTGAGAAACCAAAAAGGCCATATAGAAAAGCAATACAGCAAAATGTTATAACACCTTCAGATTTTTGTTACAAATTGCACTAATAGTCCGTTGCTAATTATATGAACTTGATTTTCCCCCTGAAGCATAGCTTCTACATGATACATTTAAGCTGTGTAATTAGTGGTTTCGATAATAAATTGGTTTTCTATCAGTCTGTTTTGTTTGCTATTGCTAATGAAATTATTGCAACATTGGGCTTAGCAATATAGGAACTCTGTTATTTTACCTTGTGTTTTAAAAGCTATTCCCTATTTGTGTTGCATACCAGATGTCACACTAATTATCATCTGTGGACTCTGCTCTAAATGTAAAGCTTTTATAAAAGAATTATGCATTAAATGATGCAAACTACTATTATGCTCCAGTATATTAATACTTTGAAGTCTCTTCATGTTGTCTTAGGAACTCCTTGTAAATATGATTGTGAAACTGGAAACTGTAGAATTTTCAGAATTAATCAGATCCTGGAGATCAAATGCTACCTTCACTCCTATTTACCCCAGCTCATTGAAACCGGTTTTTACTATGGAGCTGCGGCTTTTTCACTTTCATTTGCTCTCTGAGATACCTGTATACGAGTCTATATACAAAAAAAAACACTAATTCATGTAAATCTTCAAACTTAGAACAGATTATTTTTCTTGTAAAAATAAGCAAAATTTGGCCCACAATCTTTAGTTTAAGTAGGAATACCTTCAGCACATACAGTTTTATACATGTATTTTCAACTCTTTCAAAGCCAAACTTTTTCAAACTTTCAGCCTCTGTTAGCACTTGTAACTGATCTTTTCAATCAGTAAGAGACTTGGGGCTCTTTTCAGTTGAGGAGGAGAAGGAAGAATGGGCCATTAGTAGTTTTGTGGAGTATGCCTGTTATTTCACAGTTAGCACATCTATTCAGGCTCTGTTGCTAATGTTGGGTTTTTCACTGCAGGGGGACTTTGGATGAAAGGCAAAATGAGAGGAAATAGGCTCTCTGGCATGTTGTGGGGAATACCTGCTGAACTTAATAAGAAGAGTTTCCACAGAACATAGGACAGTAAGATCTAGTGATTTGGCTTTAGCAACCTAATTCTAACCATTTTCTCCTTTCCAATTTCTTCTAAATCAATATGGAACAATTAAAGCAATAAATGTCAGTGCTTTGAAGAGCAATACATTTCAGTGCCATGATTCTGCATATGCGAGTCAAGAGAACTTAAAGAGAAAAAACGAAACTGCTAACATTTGTAAAGGAGCCTTTAATCTTACTTCATTGAAGTAAAATTTGTATTTCACTTGCTCAGAGAAGACTTCAGAAGCAAGATGGCTTGGCAGGTGATTCCTGGGTAGGTGTTTTTAAGAAACCAGAGTAATAGACTTCACTGGTAGCATAGCTAATTATCTAGGAATGAAATGGAAGTAGCAGCCAGTTTGCCCAAGTGGTGAGTGTATGGGGGATGTGGGAAAGACACTTGCATATGTGCTTTTGTAGAGCTCAAAACCAGGGTGGGACACGTAGTCTCAGAAGATTCATACCATACTTTTTTCATATTGACACTCAGTAAGGTCCCAAGTCAACTATTGAACTTAAAATGTTTATTATTGTTGGGATTTTGGTGAGGAAGAACACAAAAATAGCAGCGTGTGTGGACTATGCCTTTTTAGATGTTTGTTTTAACGTAACTGGTAAAACTGATGGGTTTAGGTAGGATAAGTTCCTACATAAAAAGATGGTTTTAAAGTGAGGCCATCTATTTTTGATAAAAGTAAGAAACATGCAAGTGTTATTTCAATCTGTTGCTAATGGCAGGGTTCACAAGCATTTGTGTCCTTATCCAAACCAGACCAGTAATGATTTGCTGATCACTACCATAGGGTGATGTCACTGATCACCAGTTCTAATTACAGTATAGGAACATGTATTGGCAAAAAATAAGCATGACAAAGAACTCATTTTCTATTATACTACATTTGCTGTTTTTACTGCAAAAATCCCACAAGGCAAAAGCAGTGTGCAACAACGGTATCACCCTCAATTTCTGAAGCTGGTCCGGATCAGTGCCAGCATTGCAGGGGTCTGTCATGGAATTGTACATTGCTGGATAGGTTCAACCACTTCCAGCCATCGTCAACCCAGTCTGCAAGGCAAGAGGCACAGGCACCAGCTCTGTGTGGCAGCGCTCAGGCGGAGCAGTTCTGGAAGGAGAGGTTTTTCAAGATGGGTATGAAATTATTTCATTTGTATCAAAAGCAAAATGATGTCACAGCAGACTGTCCACTGGAAACTGAAGTCAGAGTACTGCTGGGTGCAGATGAGTAAGCTCTAACAGGATAGTTTAAACTGATCCTGACCCTTTACTCCTCTTTTCTTCCTTTACTCATTTTTCTCCTAACTGAGAGAAACACATCATTTGTTATAATTACATTAGGCCCTCAGAAATGACTCATCATATTATGGGCACCAGCAGAATTAACTACCATGAAAAGAGGAAGTTTTTTTAACCCAAAATACATTGTTATATCTGAGTTATAAACCTTTGAAATGAAACTGATATTTTAAAAACTTGTAGTCTAGTAGTAGCAGTGGTATCTGCCTCTATAACAAGAACCAGAGCTACAAATAAAAATACTTGTTATTTTAAGTGATGTCAAACTTCTACAGTACCAATTTGAAAAACAAGCAAGACATTATTAGACATTGTCTTAAAGTTTGTCAGTTGAAAAACTCAAACACCATGAATGCAAAGGCTCCTCATCTGGAAAAAAGAAGTGTGTAAAATGAAAACCAAGTGTATCATGTGCAGTGACAATATCTGAAAGACTTTGAATGGCTATGTGTGTGCATATATACATGCATGAGTGTATACTGTCTTTGCATAGATACTCACACATACAGAAGATACTATAGTACTTCAAATTTCCTTCCTTTTTCATACATAAAACTAATTGCAAATTATTTCTTTTTGTTCTTCTCACAGCTGAATTTTTATTCCTCTTGTGGGGTGTTTATCTCTGCTATGCAGTGCGGACAGTCCCATCAGCATTTCATGAGCCACGTTATATGGCTGTTGCAGTTCACAATGAGCTCATTATCTCTGCTATATTCCATACAATTAGGCAAGTGATCTGTAGATCTAGTAATTAACTATTTATCTTTCAGGTTTCATATGGTGCAACTTGAAATGGGTGACTGGGGTAGGATTCATAATGGGAGGTCTCATAAATATTTAATTCTGCAAATTAAGTGATTACTAAACTTAAAACTGTTCCTGTGGGATTCAAGAATGTGTACAACTTGGTAATTGTATAATTAGGGTTTTTTTCAGTATAGCTAGCTGATACGTTCTTCGATCAAAGTTCAGTATGTATGATAAATCAGATATAGCAAAACTACTGTCTGTCTTCAGTCATCTGCATACGGCTCACTGGTTTGTATCCCTAAAAAACCAGCAGGTAAGAATGTTGGTTTACATGACTTTTCCCAGTGTGTAACAGACTGGCAAGGTGCAGCTGTATGTTAAGATAATTGTACTGGTATGTGCATGAAGCATACTGTTCTATATGCTGACATAAAAAATTCTTATGCATATGATTCTGTAACAGTAATATAAAGCATGTGTTTCTTATAAAGTTTATAATGAGCTCTACATTTTCATACTTGTAAATTATTAGAATAGTAAAAAATAAATAAAGGTCTTTGCCAGAGCTACATGAAAATTACTATATATGCCTTTCCTACAGAGTATCCTGTAAAAATGAATTGGTCCTAGAAAATTCAAAATAGCAAGATAGCATGAATTTCATCTCATGCTGCAAGAGATTCTTATGACTTTCTTATGACATTCTTATGCCCTCCTTGACCTCCTGACAGACCGTATCTACTAAGATTTATTTTTTTTTACATCGCTCCATTGACAGTTTTCAAATACTCTTCTCTGTTCCTTTGTCTGTCTCTTGAAACTCACATTTCTCTCTGCCTTCTTGATGTTTGCTTCCATGAGGCATCATTTTTTCTGAGTAAACATCAGCAAAGCAAATCTTTCATCTCTATTCCTTCCAGGTGCTCTTTTCCCCTATCATTGTTATAAAGTTCTATATTCATTGTTATAAAGTATTATAAAGCACTTTTCAGGCTTGCAACTTTTTGTTTCCTTCACCTTCTCCTAACCCCATATCTCAACACCAACATACTCTCAAAATCTTCTTTACTCCCTAACACAAACATCTGCAAAAATGTTTAAAATCTGTATTTGATGGAAGCATTTTTCTTTTCATTCCTGATAGACAAAAAATTCAGTTACAATACTTTCGAATTGATTATAACCAATATGATAGCCTCTCAGTCAAAATTTCCCCCCATTAATTAATGTTCCTAAACCATATTTTGGGGCATGTTAGAAGATACAGTTCAGTGCATTAGGAGAGCTATTATGTGGGCTGCAAGTTTCTTTCAACACTAGGACAGGATGAAAGTAGTCTTGGAGTAAAGAGAGGGGGAAAGGGGAAAATGTGACATTTTAATACATGCCTTATGAAGGAGACACAAAAGGGTTAGGTCTTTCAGTTTATCCTAGTGAGGATCCTGTTCCTTCAGCCTAAGGTCTGCTGATTTTGTTCTTCCATCTTTTTAAAAAAGAATGTACATTTTGTATTGATTCTTTTCCCTCTGTCTGATACATGCTGGTTTGTTGAAGAAATATCATGTACTGTTTATGGATAGGAATGAATAAAATGCACTGGAAATATATGATCCCTTCTGAGATTATGTGCATTTCCGTGTATACAAGTCTTAATCCAGTCTCTTTGAAGTTCACATTTCCTTACTTTTTTTTTTGCTTCTGTCTTCCCTGCCAAGTTCTGGATGTAACTGAAAGAGTGGAAGTGGAAGACTCAGATTTATATGACATATCTGAGTTGTCATGAAGTTGAAAGCACTGGAGTCTTGAAGGACACCCAGTATTACAAGGCAGCCATCCAGTCTGAAAACTCCCAAAGCTCATATAAGATTGATGTGAGCACTAAATAAAACCTTGAACTGTTTGCATTTTGTTTTCCTTTCAAGGTATTATTCCCATTTCAGAAACAGAGGATTCTTGATTGTCTTCAGATCAGCATAGCATTAAATTCCTGCATTGCTCTTTCTCTTGTATTACTGAGAAAAACAAAATTTGTATGGAAAAAATCTCATTCAGATAGAAACCCCATCTCTGCTAGGTCTGAATGGCTACTACAAATGCTATTTTGCTTTCAGTGGTATGGCGTGGATACCTTAATCAGTCATGGTTTCATGCATAAAACAAGCAAAAAGCCTTCACAGAATTTGAGGATTGGAGCTGTTAAGGGTTAGCCAAATCTGGTGGGCATCAGGACCTGCGAGCTTTCTCCTGTCTCTGTCTGATGGATGTGGCTGCTGCTGTTTCCATTTGCAGGCTTAGCGTGGCTGAGCACATCCATCCACTACGTGCAGTCACACACAACACATGGCTGGCCACATGGACCAGCGCAGGTCCAACACGTACGGCCTGGTCCTGGTCCTCCTCTGCAGCTGATGATGCTCACTGATGAAACATGCACCCTGTGTAGGTTCACCAGCACACTACATTCACGGGTCCTTCCAATACGAGCACAGTCCTTAAGCCAATCTAGTATCCATCTTTGGGTTTGGGGCCCTGTAGCCAGTCATGGGCTGAGACCTTGGGTCTTCCCAGGTGCAGGTTTCCCACGTGCTGGCTAGTCCAGCCTGAAGTTTGCTCGTGAATTGCACATACACACATGCACAACGTAGAAAGTGAGATCACACAGACGTTAGGAGAAGGATTTAATGAGAAGATAGGAGATATTGCAGTGATCAGGTGCAGGGCTCAGTCACTAACAACTTGCTTACATGTCACTAGCCCCCTTTTATCCCCCCTTCTTTCCATGCTTATTCTTCTCTCATCTACCTTAGCCTCTCTCTGTCTCTATCTTGTCTTATCCCAAATAAACAACAAACCCCACATTACTTTTTTCCTATTGGTCTCAGTTTTGCTACATCTGTACTCAAATTTGGTATTTCTGATATCATTAGCTAGGTAATCACAGCCTTATATGCTGTTACTGATTTGGTTACATCAGTACCACTGACCTTGCAAGTTCTGCTCCCCCAAAGGCCCCCAATGCTCCCTTCAATTACCTGTGAAGTTTGTCCATCTTTCAAATGACTTCCTATTAACCACCTGTGAAATCTTGCCATCCCTCACAGCATTGTCTGTAAATTTTGTTCACTTTTCACTCTGTTATTTGTTACATCCAGCAGTTTCTCATGTCATTTTCAATAGTTCTCATGTTGTGTTCAGTTAGCTAAACCTCATGCCCGAGCCACCTCATATCCCTTCACACCTCAACAGCAACGTCTCTGTAAGAAATAATTATAATATTTTATTGTGTTCATGAAACATTTCATTTACAAAGTGTTAAACAAGAAATGATGACTGTATTATTACGGCATCTAAGCCAGTGTTTCATGCCAGACTATTTCTGTTAACAAAAGCTTCTGCAAAATGTACATCTGTGGACTTGGATAAGTTGCAAATGTCATTTCTATCTGAATGATTTTTGTAAACCTGCAAATTACAAGCCAGTGGCACATCCATTCATCCATTGCACTGCTTACCATCTCTATCTTTGGGAGCTCACTAAAGCAGATAAGCCAAGCATGCTCCAGCTAGCTTTAACTGCAGCACTTGTTCTACCACTCTTTTAGAAAGCTCAGCAAGGAATTGCTTCATTTGGGAGGTTCAGCCACTTATTTCCTAGCATTCACAGGGCTCTTGGGCCCTGCAGTATCGAGCTGGGCGGTCCTGCAATCAAGACCGTTTCTCTGCTCCCTGCTAAAATGCATTTCAGTTCAGTTCTCTCTTTGATGGCTTATCAGCCACACTCTGTAGCTGTGATCTATGGACATCCTGTATTTTTGAAGTGCGCTGCAATTTATCATAGTACATGTGCTTACTTAACCTAAAATCATCCGTTCGGATCCTTAATGTATGTAAACTTCCATAACTCAGTTCAGGCCAAAGAAGCTGTGACAATATAAACCATCCAAAAAAACCCAGCTAAATAGAGTGAGAATGATGGAATAAGCAATATCCTTTAAGGTCTGTTGTTTCTTCTTATATTTTGTTTTGGCTTGTTTTGTTGGGGTTTTTTTTCTGAGTTGTTTTGAAATTCTGGTATGTAAGTAAAGCACGTGGATGTAATTTTTAGTCTGTATGAATGCAGTACAGAACAAAACCAGTTGCATTTGGCCTTTCAATTAAAAGAATCCTAGGGAATACTAAAAATGTTAAATGTAATGCACTGGAGAAAAGGCAGTGAATTGCAACCCTGAATTCTATTTTCAGATTCATTCTTGCTTCAAGACTTCAGTCTGACTGGATGCTGATGCTGTTCTTTGCACACACACACTTGACTGTGACAGTCACTGTTGGGCTACTTCTGATCCCTAAGGTATTCAAATCTCCTGTCTCTTCTCTTTTGCCAAGACCGAGGAAGATAAATGTTGTCACACAGAAGCAATGCTGTATAAAATTAGCAAGCAACTGATAGAAAAGGAAGATATAAAATTTGGCTATGTTGCCTAAAAAGCTGTATATTTTTTTATTTTAAAAACCCTTATACATTTTCAAAGATTCTTTCTTTCAGCTTTCCAAATTCCAGGGGTTTAAAGTACTTAAAATGTTGATGTGATCAATACAAGAAGGAAAGGAACCTGCCTAACGATGCTTATTTTAGGTATTTGGTTGACCATGCTGCTGCCAGAGTTAGCTGAGATCAGGCAAAGAGTTTAGGTGAGAGGATAGAAAGATTAAGATGGACTGCTAAATAAAACTGGAATGAGGAGCTTGGACTAGCCATGAGACAGAGAGGTTAGGATTTAAACCAGGCAGTTGTTACAGGCTGAAAAAGAAAAGCCCTTTGCGAGACAGAGCCTGGGACAGACAGATGCTGTATACGGGGACAGACATGGCCTATGGTACGGAGCCAGGTACGGTGCTGGGTAAGAAGATGAGTGTGTGTGGGACACGAGAAGATGGAGGACGACAGGAGGCAGGGAAGAGAAGAGGCAGAGCTCGGAGCACTGCGGCACGCCACCCGTCAGGCACTGGGAGCGAAGCGACAATATGTCAGTCTCACCAGGGGCAGGAGAACCACCAGCAGCTCCACCTGTCTCTAGCAGCAGTCCACAGCATTTGAAGGGAGCACTCTACTTAGACAGTACCTCAGCAGAGCAAATGATTTTATAGTGGCTTTTGAAAGGACCAATAATATTAATCAAGAAGTCAAGAGAACAGTAAAGGTGAAAGCTACATACGAAGGAAGGACACTAAGCAGTTCAAGCTGATACCACTTTCAGGTTAATGAAGCTGCTATTCCCATCTTTTGCCTATGTGTCAGAACAGGATATGCTAGTAACTGTCAAATATACATACATTAAATAGTCATAACAAGAGGACACACTGATGCAGCCTTAATACTGAATAACCTTGTTTTATTTTTAATTACTTTTCTGGTCTTTAGCAATAATCTTACTATTTTCTATTTTATATTCATATACTTTATCGCCTATCTTCAAAGATGTCTTTCTAGACTAATCTAGAAAATTTGTTGACCTTTCTGAAGCTGACTCATAACTACCGATCAACATTTCCATTTTTAGCTTATTAACTGTGTAACACTACACAGACTTTTCTTCCAGCATGACAAAGAATTCAGGGAATTAAGAGAAGATTCACAAGGTTTAGTTCCATTCAGAAAGTTCTGAGGCCAGATGACTGTGTGGACAATAGTAACTACAGATGAGTGAATCAATATGGACAAATAAATAGCTGACAACCTCTCTCTCCAACTCTTGATCTAAGCATTTGCTAAAACTTAGAGAGATTAACTTGTCTCCATTTTTTGTTTGTTTCCTTCCTTTTTTTTCTCTTGTTTTTTGCTACCTCATCTCTTCCTTTTCAGTGTTAGGATCTAAAATGGGAGAATTGCTTTCTGCAGGATTATTCAACAGTATGGAATATAAAATACAGTCTTACAGTTTTAGCAGCCTAATTGGGAATACTGGCTGAAAGTCTATTTCGGTACTAGCTTAATTTAAATGCAATTTAAAGAGGTTCAAATAAGCATCAAAATAAGTGGGGTTTTTTTCCTTATGCAAGTCTCTAAGATTTACCAAGTTAAGCCATCATTAATAAGAGTTCCTGCCATACAATACTGATATTCTATAGGACACTACTTATGCCAATGATGCCTATAGCTAGTATTTTGAGTTCAGAAAATCACATGAAATCCATAGAAGGATCATTGTGCCATAAAAACTGTTGATGTAAACTCTTACAGTGATGTTGAAGTAAACTTTTGCACTGATGGCAACATCTTTTTTATGAATACTTATTGCAGTTTTCACATTCAAGCAATAACCCAAGAGATGATATAGCTACAGAAGCTTATGAAGATGAGCTTGATATGGGTCGATCTGGATCCTATCTGAACAGCAGTATCAATTCAGCATGGAGTGAACATAGTTTGGATCCTGAAGATATTCGGGTATATATAACTCATTTAAATAGCATTTATTTTCAAGAACAACACTTTTTCCTACAAGTAAACTCTGAATTGCATCCATTTGACTTTTTTTGCAGATATCAGCTGAAACAGGCCAGCTTAGGTCTCTCAATGATTGTGGTATCAGGTCATGTCAAATCTCATGGAAAATATTCACTAGTGTGAAGAGAAGCTGCATTACTAGTTGTAGTAAAAGTCATACTGGAGGCTAAAGAGGAGGAATCGTCCACAGCAAGAGCTGTTTATCAGTTTACATAGGCTCTTTAAATTATCTTGAAGAGCAAACAGGATTTACTGTCACTGTGATTAGTCATTTGTATGTAACATACACATAACTATATAACATCAAATTTAAAAAACACATGATTAACAGAAAAAAATACTTTATTCCTATCTTACATGATAAAAAGGCTTGTGTTTCCAGAATAAAGAATAGCTATAGAGTTCAGCAGGAAAGCATACACCACAGCATTGTGAAATCTGAAACATACAGCATGAATGTATATGAATTGTGCATGCTGTATGATGCACAGCTGTGGAAGGTAACATGTTTGTGCATGAGCGTTGAACTTATTTTTGAAGTGGAAAAAAATGGCATCCAAGTTGATGGAGAAATGGCATATTCAAAAATTAGAAAAGACAGTAAAGTAAGTTTAATGCCGTTTTTAGAGCAATGGGTAATGCATTCATCAGGCTGCTTGTTAGACCGGACTCACTCTGTACATACTAGTTTTGCCATTCACTTTGCTTTGCAGGATGAGTTGAAGAAACTATATGCCCAGCTTGAAATCTATAAAAGGAAAAAGATGATTGCTAATAACCCACATCTCCAGAAAAAAAGGTGCTCTAAAAAGGGCTTGGGGCGCTCAATAATGCGACGTATTACAGAAATCCCCGAGACTGTCACCAGGCAGTGCTCCAGGGACGAGAAGGACCTGATGGAGCACAGTGCTGTGAAGAATATGGCCACACTGAGGAAAAACCCACAGGATTCCACAAGCTGTGCAAAGCCAAAAGAAGAGACTTTGAAAAACAGAGTCTTTTCCTTAAAAAAGTCCCACAGCACTTATGATCATGTTAGGGATCAAACAGAAGAACCTAATAGCTTAACTACAGAAAGCACAGAAGTTATAGCTACTGAGAATTCGCTTCTGGACTCCTTGAATGGTAACAAATTAACCAAAAACGCTCCTGAAAAAGTTGAAGCTGTCTCTACTGAATCGGTCCCTTTGGTGTGCAAATCAGTAAGTGCACATAACTTAAGTGCCGACAAGAAGCCTCTGCATCCAAGAACATCTGTGTTACAAAAATCCCTCAGTGTTATTGCTAGTGCCAAGGAAAAGACTCTGGGACTAACGGGTAAAACACAAAGTCTAGAGGAAAGCACTAAATCTCATAAATCTCAGCAGAAGAGTAAGGAGGCCAGCAAAAAGCACTCAGCCTCCGATAAAGGGGAACATAAGGATTCCCACCGGAAAAACTCTACCCACTCTGAGGAAACAAAGAAAACCCATAAATCTGGAATTATGAAACAGCAAAGGGTTAGTCAAACACCTGCAAATCCAGACACAGGCCCAGGTAAGTCTCTGCACAAGGACAATTTCAACATAGGAGAAGTTTGTCCTTGGGAGATATACGACCAAACTCCTGGTCCTGTGCCTTCCGACTCTAAAGTTCAAAAACATGTGTCTATTGCTTCCTCAGAGCCAGAGAAAAACCACCCTTCCCAGCCAAAGGCAAAGACTCATCATAAGCTGAAGACACCTGAGGGGTATCAACAGTCAAATCAAAAGAGCCCAGAGAAGGTGGAGGCACCCACTCGGGAGACACAGGAGCAGCAGGTCTTTGAAAATGAGAAAAAACAGTCAAATTCCAAGTCCCAGGTTTCTCCTGGGCTGAAGTGTGAGAATGTTAATAGATATACACCTAATACCTGTGCTGGGGAGAGGGAGGAGCTACCCCAGAAAGCACCAGAAAAGGAAAACCTCAATAAATTGGCAGAACAGAAAAAAAATGCCTCTTCCGAGGGAAATGTGCTTTCATCTGACTCCCATAAGCCAAGTAGTTACTTACAGCAACCTTTAGCATCTCGAGCTGAAGTCTGCCCTTGGGAGTATGATACACCAGATTTACCAAATGCAGAAAGAAGTGTAGCTTTATCAAACACCTCTGCTATAAGTGCAAATAAAACAGCAACACCTCGAAAATAAAGAGGCTTTTGGACTGAGGAGAGTAGCAACATTGAGAAGAAAGACAACAGGAAAGACAGAGGGGACTTAGGCCAAAAGGATCTGAAAATTCCTAAGGAGCATCACTTAAATTAAGGGAATCAGCACTACAAATAAGTAGGAGTTAAGCAAAGCAAATTATCATTAATGTTGTTATTATTTATTTGTTGAGTGCCAACAATGTCATTAGCAGTGCCCAGAATATGGTCCCTGCTCCAAGGATTTTACTGTGTCAATGAAAGAAACCTGCCTTTGTGAAATCACTTCTCTTTTAAAAGAAAAAAAAAAATGGTGGTAACAAACGCACAGTGTAGATCTTGACTGAATGATTTCTGAATGCCACAACTGGCTTTAGCTTGCCCTTGGGACTTTAAAGATCCAGCAGAAGTAGGGCACAGAAAATGTCCTGATGGCAAAAAGGGGTATCAATGAGCAGCTTATTAAAATGACGACTTTTCACTTTACGTATTTAATCTAGATAGCACTGCTAACTCAATGCATCCCAAAAATACATTTTATATAATGATTGCTCTCATTTTCTTATTACTGTGTGTTTAAGTACATTGTTGTGTCTCATATTAAAGCATTCCAGATTGTATAATTTTTGCAAATAACTTTGATATTATGTGACACAACAACACATTTATGCAATCTGCAGATACTTTCTTCTAATTGCAAGTTAAAATACCTGCTGTAGACTTTTTTGTTTATATATAGAATTGCAGTAATCTTTCACTGGCTATGGAAGCCGTAATTCATATTGGGAAATTCCTTTGGGCTTTGGAGATTTTTTTTTCCTTTCCTGTGATTTATATAGTGAATTTTTTGGTTTACTCTCTGTTATTTAAATTTATAGTTTGATACTGTATTATTCAGGGGTTTTATACGCCGTAAGTTACTTGTTATGCACTTCCCTGTTAATGCTCATAGACTTTGTTAATAGTGGAAATTCAGTCGTCTTAGCTGCATATTCTGGTAAATCTTAGGACAACTTATCTGTTGTTTGTTACTAATCAGAAAATATCATCTAGCAAACCAGAATTCTTACTTTAAACATCGATGGTGATGATCTTGTTCAGTATTGCATACTGAGCATATCCTGCTAAATAAGACAAGCAAGAATGACAACAAATATACCCCAGAAATGATCACCTGTTTTACTAAAACCAGACAGCTCTGGGAAATGTATTAGCTAGCTCATATAGAACAACAGTGTACTGTTTATCCCTGTTGGCAAGCCTCCAAAATTTAGCCTCTGGAGTGAAGAGAGAAGTCCAAAATATTACTCTTCCCCCATATATGCAATTGTAAGAGATAGTGGGAATGGAAATAATGGCATCTCTCTCCCACTCTCCAAAATGCTTTGATTTTTTTTTTTTATTTATTTGTACTTACATTTACAGTGAAAGTGTTTAATACAGTGCTAATTTTCAGTAATAGCTACAGTCCTCATCGTGCATATAAGCTTTATTCATAGATGGCCCATTCACAACTATGAGTCTTAGTGATGGTTCACCATCCGGGCCTGAGGACATATTGTAAAGATTCTGAAGAGTATCACTAATAATAAAAAACCCTCAGCCATCTAAATGCAGTACCAGTAAAGTGCTATTCACTAGAATCGGCTATACATACAGTACTCCAAAACAAAGACAGCTCAGTCCTAAAGAACTTGTGCAATTTGAGAGAAGTGATGGGATTCAGTGGAAGAACATGAAATGAGGATGATTGAATAGAATGTGTTGTTTAATATATATATAATATATATAAAAATAGATATTTATATATGTTTAATATATATATAAAATGTCATATCTAATACACACATGCACATACACGTATGTAGTATAAACTGATTTTTGTGGCATCATAGAAAAAGTGGCTTAAGATTAAATGCAATGAGCAGGGGGACTTGACAAGCTGGGCATGAGGAGGACTTCTTTAGTCCTTTAAAAAGGACAGGAGTCTATGGGCATGTCTACACTGACAGATCAAGATGGATCTGATCTTCGTACTGCCTCTGCTAAGCCCAAACCTGGAACATGCCGACATCTGAGCCAGCTGGGGACAAGTTGGCTCAGGTCTTAGTGCTGTCTAAACACACTGGCCTCACTCATAAATTCTGCTCATTAGCTCCAGATTAAAGTGGCCGAACTGCCCCAACGAACATGGTTAGCCTGGATGGTGCTCAGTTCCACCATGGGGACATGCTGACTTAGGTCTTTGCTACCCTGGGCTTGTCTGACTCTCCCACCCCTCTTTTGTAGGGTGTAGTTATGGCCTAGGAGATAACGGTCTTTGTCTTCAACACACATCTTCTGGCTGGGACCCTTGCAACCCAGAATCCCTGTTCATCTGTGAAAGAGAGTCAGGCATCTGAGCCTGGGTGCTTTGGACATCTGTGCACCCACTTTGCACACACAGTGCCAGTGGCATCCTACGTCCAGCCCAAATCCAGCTGTCTGCTTAGTGTGGAGAAGAGCTGAGGTTAGACCTGGTGTGCCCAGGTTCTCCCCTGCCAGCCCCAGACACTCATGGGATTTGTCAGGATTTGATCAGCTCTTCAGAGAGAAAGTAACCCTAAATTTCCCTGCATGGGAAGAAGTCCATCCTGGGCACAGAGCTTGCTGGGAGTCTTCCAGGAGCACACTGACCCTGAGTGCAGAGAGATGCACAACTTTAAACCTGCTGAGTATGGTGACCACCTCGTGCCTCTCCTACTCCTCAAGGGAGATTCTGCAGCCCATCTCAGCAGTGGTTTGTGTGAACAGGGGACGGGGGGACAACCTGTGGCAGGTTGCCCTGACTCACTAATGGGAGTTAGCGCTTTGTTGGAGCCAGGCGCTGAGGTTAGAAGTAGGCATCCATGGAGCAGTCATGAGAGGAGATGTTTGTATGTACTCACTGCCTCTTGGGAGACAGACGGTCACAAGGAGCAGGTGCCAGTCCTGGTGCCCTCGCTCGTCTTGCCCTCCATCCTTTACTTCAGGGCCGAGCGAGAAGACACTGCCCCTGCCCTGCTCTGCAGCAGCCATGTCGGGGTGCAACGTGCACCACGGGTGAGGGGATCCACATCAGCAAAGTGTCCGCACAGTACCACTGCCCCTTGCATCACTGGCAGGATGAAGCCCTTCATGCATGACTCTATCTGTGCTACCACGATCTATCTACAATTCCTTGCTCGTTTTCTTTTCCCTTTCTTTCTTTTTTAAAAGATAACTTCATTAGAAACACGGAAACAAAGCCCATTCCTTGGCTGGTGTAAAACAGCCCAGCTGCACAGCAAGCAAAAGAATGATGGCTGATTTACCAGGGAAGGTACTGGCTTGTGTATTCTTGTTTGGTTTTGTTTTCTTTCATCCTGACCCTTTCCCTCACTTCTTAAAAAATGTCTGTTATGGTTCTTTAGGCTTCTTGTAGTCACATCTCCTAAGACTGATACAATTGGAGAACTTTCATTTAGAAAGCAAGAAAGCTTTCCCCAGTTTATTTAGCAACCGATATTTGGGCTACAGATTCAATTGGGACTTTAAATTATTTCACACCTAAGAAAATGAGGGGCCAAACTTCACACAACTCTTCTATTTCACTATGATGCTGCTAGAAACATTGCTTAATGAAGACATACTAAGTTAGACATAAATAATGTTCTGTATTTCATAGATTTTTCTCCACCAGCATATATTGGCTAGATTGCTTAGTTGTCTTTTTCTGGAGTTTCATTGTCATTATTCAGCCAAGAGAAGTGCAACTCTAGAATTAAGATGTTTTCTAGCAGATCTGTTAAGAGAAAGATAATAAACACTAAGGTCACAAACATTTGCTAGGTTGTCCTTTTAAATGCATGTGCAAGCTGCATTTCTCCTTTATTTCTAAGCCATTGTTTATAAATTAGATTTATACCAATCTTATTAGACTTGTATAATTTATGCAAGATTATACGCTTTAAAATATAAATCAGTACTCACCTATCATCAGCTTTGGTGGCATCATAGACCTGAAACTGGACAATACTTTTATATTTGCTCTCCTTAGGCTTTTGCATGCATATGACAACAGGCAGGCCTGAGAAAACACTGCCTTTTGACTTTTAACATTTTAGCTACTCCAAGTTGTAGAGTATATAAAGCTGTAAGTCTCTTCACTTTACAATGTGGTTCTTATAACAATGTTATCTGGCAACCAACAGCATCCACCATGAAATACTTGATAGATTTATGTTGTAATGTGTTGCAGCATGTAAATAATGTAACTTCTCTGCAATAAAGCACATTTATATGAAATCTGTCTGCAGGCTTTTGTGTTGTGATTTTTCTGAAGTCTTTAGTGATCCAAACTAAACAGGTTTCTCATTAAACTTGTAAAATAACTAATAATGAGTTTTACAGCTTATATGATCTTATCACGTCAGCATTTTCCGAATTTTCCTCATATTTGCTTGACATCAACCTTTAGACTAGATGTGTACTGTGTTCAGGATTTCAGGTTAAGGAAATCGCTGTAGTGGCTGCAATTCTGAGATCAAAACTGTAGGGTCCATGCTATATTCTCCTGAATTTACTGGCAATGTTAGAATGTTAGAACATATTAGGAAATAAATAGATAGCATGTCATGATGTAATTGTAAAATCCTATAGCTCATCTGTACTACACGTGTGCATGCCTGGATTCCTCATCTGGAATATGTCTAACAGACATAGAAAAGGTACAAAGAATGGTAACAAAGATGATCAGAGACAGAGAATGGCTGCTACATATGGGGTGACTAAATGAACTGCAACCTGTTTAGCTTGGGAAAGAGATGACTGAGAGATGGGTAGATGACTGAGACCTATATAAAATTACAAATGGTATGAAGGTAATTAGGAAATTGGTATTTGCTGGGTTTTGTCATGCGTGAACTACAGAACGCTCAGGGTGGCCATTATGCAGCAGTTTAAAACAAATGAAGTTTTCTGCTACGTATGGCATAAATAAATTGT